TCGTTAAATATTTTCAGCAAAAATACCCGGTCTAAAATTTTGTTTAAATTTTGCTTAAAATATGAGATTAATTATTATAAACAAAATGATTGTTGAAGGCAAATATTTTTTTACAAAAACAATCTTCATAATATTCCCTACACAAAATCATCTGCTGGTATAAAATATCTTAGGCAGTTATATTTATATACACATTTATTTGAACGCAACACCAGCGGCTAATGGGTTAAGAAACAGTTTAATGATAAGAATAATTTTTCAGCTTAAATTCAGGAACAAACAACTGATTAAATCAACCGATTCCTTTACCAGATGTGTTCGATGCCTTCAGCCACGTCTAATATATCGAATGCATTGTAAATTTGGTTGTGCATCGCAGAGCCCAAAATTTCAATTTGTTCTGACCAATTCAAAATACCAGTTCCTTTCAAATTCCGCATTCGTTATCAGAGAAAAACCACCCTAGAAACTGACGCAAAAATTATCTGTTACCATATTCCAAAGATCAGCGGCATGCTTTTTTTGATGAAATCTTTCTCAATATTAAATGCCCGCTTTTGATGGTGAGACTGATAGCAAGTACGATGACCTTTTTTAAATAATTTTAGACCAGAAGTTTCTTCTTCCATTCACTTTTCTATAGATTTTAATTTTTTATACGCTCAAGGCTGATTTAGGTGCCCCGAAAATCCTCAGTTGCCAAGGAGAGCTCCGACTTTAAGAGGTGTCTTCGCCATGCGTAAATATTAACAACAACAGGCTGAACTTCTAACTGAAGCAGTACTCGTCCGAGGAATGAAAAACGTATTGGCAATTATGACACTAGGCCACGCCATCCTTGAATTTTTAAGATTCCACAGAAGTAGAGAAGAACAACAGATTTTCAACATCTTAAATTTTTTTCCGAAGCAGGTTTGTTCACTAGCTGTAACTGAAATATCGGCATGGAAACTCGAGTTTTTGATCTAACCATTTGTGCAACCTTAAGAATGTTAAAACCTTCATTAATGAGTTCTTTGATTTCATCCGTCGAGCAATCTGAAGGTAATCTTCTATTTGAATTTTCAGTGATCTTACCTTTTTTTGGATAAATAACATAATGCTACACATTATTTTCACGTGGGCGTTTAACAAGAATCATGTGATCATCTTCACAATACATTTGGATTTTAATTTTTTCAAATCTTACACGCACTAAAAATCTAAATAAAAGTGAAAAAAATTATGTAAGTGAAAAAATAAATTATACAGGCGATAAAAATTATGTAAGTGAAAAAATAAATTATATAGGAGATAAAAATTATATAACAGTCTGGCCATATCATAAAACGGGGGATTTTAAAATAGGCACGCATTAGGGGACCCCCAACCTCTAAATTTGCGAGGGGGGCATGAAATTCCTTAAATTGTTATATATGCTGTCAAGTTTCCAAAATTTCCCGAGCTTTCCAATTATGGGATTTTTCATTGTACGTTTCAACACATTTTAGTGCTTACATAATGAAAAATGCACAGACACATATTTGAATTTCTGTTTACAGTTAAACAATGAAATTTTAAAGCCAAAAAAAAAGGCTTACTACAAGATCGTATTTTTTTCCCTTTGTATTTCTCCTAGAAAATAAAGGTGCAAATACTGCATAAGCATGTAAGGAAATTAAGACGTTTAATAAATAAGAATCTTTATAATTATGATAAATCAGAAAATATTTCGTGTATAACAGTTAAACTTTTGTCATAGTTAAGCTTCTGTCAAACGAAACATATTAATATACTTACGAAGGCATTTAATGCCATAAAATCAAGTAATTTAATACACTTCAATTTTTCATCAAAGGAATGAGGTACTTTGATAAGTATGCAGTTACCTGTTTTTCTTTACAGATAAACTTTAATTTATTAATTTCTAAGCAATGAAGAAACATTACAAGTTTTTCAATAATTTTAAAATGCATACACTAAATGAAACATCAAAATATATGCTTATTAACCTTGATTTTGGCAGGGAAATCTTGAGAATGCTTCATATTTTTTACCCACACAGATGCACCGCAGTTCTGCTTTCTTGATCTGAATTTATTTGAAGTACCACTGTAAGAGTTTTTTTTTTTTTGTTATTATAATCATTATCTTGGCAAAGATGTAATTTTTTGTACAATGACTAAGATGTGGATAAGTCTTGCGAACAATCCAGTTTTTTTACTGGTGCCCCTGAATTTTGCGACCAATGCATCGCATCTACTACTATGAATCGCTACTTCAGTATTGTTCGTCACCTACTTTCTCAAAAGCAGCAATCGAATATGGTACGTCGACAGATAGTATCCATCTTCCTATGAAGGGACAGATAATTTTACAGCCATGACTTCTCCGAAATTCGAATCTGGACCCTTCGGTATGGCAGTCAGGCTTCCCTAACCACTATAATGTCTACTAAGAACATATAGTGAATTTGAGTTTCAGAAAGCGGCGCCTCTTTTTACTCCGTATCACGTGAAGAACATCAGTAAAACAAAAAGACGAAAGTAAAAGTCAGGTGGCTGCCATCAGTCGACGAAGAAGGTGAGTGTCTGATCGAAGGTCCAAATCAGTGAACTGAAGAATCTAGTATAAGTAAAAAATGTTAAGGATGGAGAATGTCAGATGGATATTTGTACTTTTCTCTGGGAAATGGAGAACATCTAAGAGAGTTGATGCAGTTGTTAGGATGAGTGAGAATTGAATAGAAAAAATTTCTGGCATGTTTGTGAATATAATCTTGAATTGTGTCTACTTTGAGATCACGATGGATATACGAATTTGGAATGAACCATGGCGCGTTGATAATCTGAGTGCTTTGTTTTGAAGAACTTGGATGTGTTTAAGGTGCGTTTTGGCAGCGTGGCCCCAGACAGGACTAGCATAGAGTAATGTTGGTCGAAGTATAGATTTATATGAGTTTATTAGAAACGGACATATGACTTCTTCTGCCAAGAAGTGGGCGCATAATTGCAAGCGTTATATTGATTTTTTTCACAGTTTCCCTGAGATGTTTCTGAAAAGTCAATTTTTATCAAGAATAACTCCTAGATATTGAACTTCGTCAACCCAGTCAATTTCTTCATCAGACAGAAGAGGTTCAGGTGGAGTGAAATTTGTTTGGCCTTTGCGAAAAGTTATTGCTTTTGATTTTTCGGTATTAACTGCAATCCTCCAAAGAGTGAGCCCATTTTCTAGATGATTGAGGTAATGTTGAAGAAGGAGCTGGACATCAGTAACAGCAGAAGCTTGGGTCATAATTGCAGTATCATCAGTGAAAAGACCAATGGTAATTTGTGGGTCCTTAGAAATATCGTAAATGTAAATGTTATGTAAGTATGGAGAAAGCACAGATTCTTGAGGCACTCCAGCGAAAATTTTTCTCGTGGAAGAAACAGAACTGCCAATTTTCACTGCAAAGATTCTGTCTTGGAGATAGGAAGCAATAAGTCTAAGACAATGATCGAGGAAGTTTAACTTATAAGTTTGTATATAAGTCTCCGGTGCCATACCCTATCAAAAAGCTTTCGCAATATCAAGCAAAATGGCTCTGGTAAGGAACTTACAATTGAAACCGTCTGTAATATAGTTGATGACACGAAGCAGCTGGTAACCAGTACTGTGTAGATGACGGAAGCCAAACTGTTCTTCTGGAATGTAGGAGCTCTGTGGAACAATTTGATTAAGATGATTAGGACTAACTTTTTCAGCTATTTTAGAGAGTTGACTGAGAAGGCTGATTGGACGGTAGTTCTGGGGAAACGTTGAATTTTAATGCGGTTTTGGGAGGACAATGATGATGGCATGATATATTAGGAAAGTAAGAGAATTTGATGATAGATTATCTTAGTAAGACAAGTGATGGCATTGACACGAAGATGTTTCAACGCTTTGGTAGAAATACCATCAACATCAGGAGCTTTTCTAGGTTTTAAGGAGCTTATATAATCGGCAACCAGCTTAGGCGTGGCAAGGAATGTAAAGTTCAAAGGACCTGGGATTTTTAAGAAGGTATTAACAGTATCATTAACTTTGGAGATATGATTGCTGTCGTAGGGGGTAGTATTGGGAGTAAACGTTTCTTCTAGTATATCTGCAAAGGTGTTAGCTTTATCTTCGTCTGAATAAATCATTCCGTTGGCGCCATGAAGTGGCGGAATTAGCTTGAAGAGTTTCTTAAATTTCTTTGCAATGTCAAAAAGAGAATTATCTCCAGTTGCGAGAGAGTTGAGGAAGTTTCGCCAGCGTTGCGTCTTGAAGTTACTAATGTCCTTTTTGATGTCATGTTATAAAGTGTTCAGTTGAGTTTTGAGCATTGAGTCTCTTGTATTTACCAGTTTTTCGTAATACGATTTTTGCATTTGATTTTTTGTCTTATGCTGGCTGGAAGAGGAAGAAAAGGATAGGAACTGATGATTTTATTGGTTGAAAATCTGATAGCATGTTGAATATAGGTGGTAAACTTATTGATTTCAGACTCAATATCGTCATCATTGGTAATTTTGGGATTTCCAGGAATGGTATTTGAAATAATTTTTGAGAATTTTTCCCAGTCTGTAACGTCAATACTCTTGCCCAGTGAAGGTAAGTAACTATTTATGCTGGGTCGTCTTATTTCAAATTTCGAATTTTAAGTGACACAGAATTATTTTTAAAAGCTTAAAATGCTTATATGATTCAAATTTGAGAGTATATATATTAACATTCTTGTTTATGTAACTCAAATTTAGCATTCATAATTAAAATTTTATTTTGCAATTAATATTTTACTACATTGCACTTGCGATTCAAAATGGCGGAAAACTTTGCTAAAAAGCCTTGTGTTTGGTGCCATCCGTCTTGGAAAGTCTCGCCAAAAAGGAGGGGATACCTGAGTCTGAATTTTTAAAGTGGAAGTATTTTGCACCACTGGCACTTATTATTAAAGGTATGTTGCCATACTATTTTAATTTTATTTTTTGACCAATGACTACTACTTCAACTTTAGATTTAAGTGTTTACCGGTGTTCAGCTTTAGTGCGGCAACTTATTGGAAGTGGTTTAATTGTGTTTAACTTTTCTTTTGAATATTTATGATGGGTGTGAAAAGGAATCTAGATGCTGCTGGTTTGTCAGCAAATGCAAGCAGTATTACTGAAGATGAAGCTCAATTATATGATCGTCAGATTCGATTATGGGGAATGGACTGCCAGAAACGGTAAAATTCACCATTTCGTCATTTTAATTTTTTAATGTAGGTAATTGAGATTTATGCTTTTACTTGAGTTTATAAAATTGAAACTGGTTTATTGCCGCAAAGATGTATTTTTTTTTCTTTCGCAATATTATATTAAAACATTAATGCCTAACGTGTGTGTTTCACCACAAAATGAGTTGTTAAAATATTAGAAGAGCACGGGTAACAATGCACATTGTATTCTAAATTATTGATTTACTGTATAGTTGACACTATCGTATGTAGTCGAGTATTATCCTGAAATGATATGATTCCATGTTTATTCACAATTTTTCATGCACTTTGCGTCGTATTTTAGGTCAGTATTGTGAATATTGAGCTGCATTTATTCTTTCACCTTATTGAAAGAACGAGTAGTGAGCAACCTGCGGTATTGAAAATTTTTTGGGATCCAGAGATGCTTTGCAGTCCTTCATAAGGTGTCTTTTGCTCCCAAATAAGACAAAGTAGACAGATGTCTTTTGTTGCACCCGCTTTCTGCACCGATGGGCAAAAAATCAAGCATAGGTGCGAAGGAAAGGTATATAGAAAGGGGGGCAATTTCGTATTTCAGAGGAGAGTAGAAAGGAACTTCGTATATTTTATACGAGTTCGAAAGGCCAGGAAGAAAAGATGGGACAAAATAAAGTAAAAAATAAATGGCCCAAAAGTAATGGAGAGGGAAAAAAAATAATATTTATAATTAAAAAAAAAAAAAAAAAGAAAGGGCCTATAGAAAGAAAAGGAAAGGAAGTAAGAGAATTTTGTTAAAAAAAAAAAAATGAGTGTAGTCAAAGGAAGTTTTTATCATTTACATTAAATAGAGTCTTCCAGGTGTGTTTAATGAGTGTGTTTTGTAAAGCTGAATAGATGTGAAGATGGGGGAAAATTAATAATAAAATATAAATATTGGGGGTCCAGTCACATAACAGTATAAGTCTAGTTTAGAAGCTAACCTATGTTATAAAAGGGAAACTAAAATTTAAAAAATTTTGGTTGATCTTTGGATTATGGTAACTTGGTGAAAATTTGGCGACCAACTCTGCTACAGCAACCCTCTACTTTTTTTTTTCGCCACCATTTTGTCTTCACGAAGTAAAGACATATTTCTTTTTTTTTATTTACTCAACACTTTTTACAACAATCTACTAGCCGGATTACACTTATGCTAGAAATTTTATGTAACAAAACTGCTTAATCATGACAAATATTAACTGCAAAATTGGGAAAAAGTGCACAATCGCAAACTCTTTGCGCCTTTTTCAGAATAGCACATACACATAAACCATTTACACGTCGACTTATTTTTACTTAAAAAAACATCCCAGAATTGCACAAAAATGGCATTGCACACACTCTTAACTTTATCCATCTACACTGCTATTTTCTCATAAATTACAAAAATTTGCACTAAAATGCAGAAAATTTTCATAATCTTTAAACTCGGTAAAAAGCACATATATGAAATTACCTGATCGTGAAAAAGTATATACCCTTTCCAAAGATGAACATTTCCACATATAAAATAAATAAAATATCCAAAAGCTTTTACCTCTAAATTATCTATTATATTATAAACGTCAGCAACGAATTTATACGCAAACTTTAAAAATAGTTACAAATACTTAGTGTCAAATATTTAAATTATTTCCATACACCTTTACTTCAAATGAAACGTATACCAAATTCCTACAAACATAAAATTCACAAAATAACCATCATTTAATTAAAATATCACTAAACCATGTACACGTCGACTTATTTTTACTTAAAAAAACATCCCAGAATTGCATAAAAATGGCATTGCGCACACTCTTCACTATATCCATGTACACTGCTTTTTTCTCATAAATTAGAAAAATTTCACGAAAATGCATGAAAATACTCTACGTATACTACTCAAACATATTCCAAAATACTACAAACATATAACTCACAAAATCACGATCATTAAATTAAAATATAATCAAATTAAAAAACACTACTTAAAATATAAATAAGCACATACATTAAATTAATAAAAATTAGATTACAATCCTAATTATTTTAAACTAAATCATTGCTAATAACAATTTTCCAATAATACCATTTTAATTTATTTAGTCCTTACATTTAGAACAATGCATAAAAATAATATCCTCAAATGATTAAAAATACTAACTTACCTAATCTTCTTCAGAATCTTCATTACATGGCATGCACACTTCCCTACAGAAAGAGTTCCAATCGGCTGCAGTACTAGTGCTAATTTCTAAATCCGAAATCCAGTAGTCAACTTATTATTAATTATCATGTATTAAAAATTTAGAATTCACTTTACATAGCGCCATGCAATCCGAAAATTAATCAACGCTATTTCACACAACACACAATGAGGCTTAATACAAAATAATTTTTCCAAATTTACCCCCTTTTCCGATTAAAGAACTGTAATTCGTCCATTAATGTCACATGACATATCTCATGATCTCTCATTTTCCTCACACAAAATAATGCGTAATCGGAACTGAGTGCTTCTCACATTATTACCAAAGTCCTAGGTAGTAACCTTTATCACCTCCAAAATGTCGTCAAACTACCTGTTACCATATTCCAAAGATCAGCCAAAATATTAAATTAAACTTTTATTTTTTAACATGGGAAACAATATGTTTGCCTCTACCTTGAGACACAGTAACAGAAGGCACATAAGATCAAGCTACATATAATATCATGCAAACTTATACATTAAATTAAGTAACATCATCTATTGCGGTATCCAACGTATTCATATACTCAGAAAACACTATCAGATAAAATCATAAATCTAAAACAAGGCGAGAACACATGAGCAAAAATAAATAAGTAAATAAAATACAGTGTTTTTTTTATTTTAATATTAATTAATTTTTTTAAAAAATAAGCATTTTATTTATTTATTAAGTTAATGGTCATAATTTATTATATGTGTACTATTTTATCAATTTGAGGCACACTGTATTAATATATGCTTTTAATTTAATTACATAGGAAATATAGATTAAAGGAGCAAAAACTACAAATCTATACATTCGTTGCAGCCAAGATCGTGTTTTTCCCTCTCAAGAAATTCTTCAAAGGGGCCCCAATGGGTATCGCTAACAGACTACACTACTGATAGGGATAGCGTCCCTACGAAATGGCAACCAAAAAACAAAAACAAACAAACAAACAAAGGAAAAAAAAATGATTTAAAGCAATTGCTAAGTATTTAATGCCAGAACATATTAAAATGAGGATAATAATAATGATCATAACAAATAAGTGAATTTAAAGGCACTTTAGTGACAGATATTTGATTTAGCTTAGAGAAAAGAAGTTCTACTTATCTGAATGTTCCGTCTTGGTGCTGTCAAAGATTACAAGGAAGATAAGACCTATAGGTTCAGGAAATCTTTCGGTTTTGAGAACGAGACAATGTAGAGGATATTCGCGAAAATTTTTCTTAAGTAGATGAGCATTATCAGAAAAAACTCTTTGAAAATTTAGGAGCTCTTCCAAGATCCTGCCTCCATCGTACGTGATCACAGCACCACCATAAAGTGATAAATAGAATAGCCACTTTGCATTTACAGTTACAGTCACAGTTTGTTGCTGGAAATATAATTTTACTTATTAAGGGGGAAGAGCACACTTCCAAAAATTATACTTTGTTTTCATCACTGAGTTGTGAGGTACCTACTCATCAAACTTCCTTCCTTACTTTTTCTAATGTTTAATGGAACTTAGAAATAATTCTAAGTTCCATTAAACATTAGAAAAGAGTGCATTTAGTGCCTGGCTGTCTGTTGTACAAACATGGATCTGACTTAATCGTGGGCCCATTAATTTTTTCAAGTCAGTAGAGGGAGGAAGTGGATATGAGATTTATTTTCTAACCTTTAAAACAGGAAAAATGTATTTGAAGGTACCCCTTGCGAAAATTGGCATTTTTTTGACACCATTCCTGTTTACGTACAACCCAGTAAAATGGCATCCAAAACATAATGCAATAAAACATAATCAAAGCAAAAAAATATATAATCTCAATAAAATGCATTTAAAATCAAATAAGGAAATAAGAATGGAAATATGCGTTATCTAATCTACACAGTACAAAAAGGAAATATCGACTTACTTTATTTAGAAATTTCTATGTCTTCAGTGTGTGGCCAGCAGAATTCCTTAACAGCATCCAAAAACTGTCTAAAATTATCTGAACTAGAATCCCTATACTGCCATTGTTAGTCTCATTAGTTATTAGTGAATTGTTAGTTGTGAGTTATTCTCATTAGTTATGAGTGAATCTCTCATTAGTTGTTTCTCCCGTGAATGCTTTATTGATAGTTTTTCATTGCAGCCACTAAAGAATTTCTCACTTTTGAAACTTGTAAACAGTATCAGCTTCACTTCACTGCACTGAGATTCACAACTGACTTGAGGTTGGCTGCATTCAGTGTTTAATGCTCACTAAATGAAACAAATACTGTGGTTGTATCTATCACATATGAGAAATTGCATTAACCTGAGGGCTTTGTTTCTGCGACAACTGGAACAAACTTGAGGTGATTCAAATCCCATTTCATTTATAGTAACCTGATAAATATGCAAATGCATTGCAACCCAAATTTTGCTGAATAATGTGTTAGCAATTAATTAGTTCCTTTATTAAAACACATTCCGTCAAACATTAATTGTTAAATACTTGCTTTATTCAGAAACATTACCGTCAACATTACTGCTCAAAAAAACATTGCAGTTCAAATTATTACCGTTCTGAAAAAAACTGTTGTTGCCAATCGAGGAAAATACAGTTTAAATAAAATTCATACATTGCTTTTACATTCGGGCATCCTGACTTGTTACGACCTCAGAACATTAAGAACTTATATTTAAAAAAATTAAATCTGTAATATTAATGTTTATAGTTGGAAAGTCTTAAGCTGTCATATAGATTCACCGTCGTTTTCTATTCTTTTTCCGTG